TTTTTTGCAGCGATTGGAATTCTTGGGCGATGCTGTGCTTGATTACATGATTACTCGGTATCTGTTCGAAGATGAACGACAGTATAGCCCTGGTGTATTGACAGATTTGCGCTCTGCATTGGTCAACAACACCATCTTTGCAAGCTTGGCAGTGAAATACGATTTCCACAAGGTTAGTTTCTTTTTTACTTTGTGGGAGGCTCTGGCTTGCAAAAATTTTTTTTTGTTAGCGCGGAGTTGGGGTTGACTGATCTATAACCTAATTGGTTTACTTCATAGTTTTCCTTCATACATTTCATGATTTGTTTTCAGCACTTCGTTTCTATGTGTCCCGGTCTTCACCACATGATTGAGAAGTTTGTCAAGTTATGCACTGAAAGAAACTTCTTTGATGCCAACTTCAACTCAGAGGTGAGCAATTTTGGTTTGCTAATAGTACCTCTGAATTAAAGTTCTACAACATCGATGAGTTCTAGCTTCTTGGTAGTCTATGTTCAGAATTCATTGTTTCATGGTCATCTGATTACGGTTATTTAGAATTTCATTTTCAGCGCCATCTATTGAAACAAAAACTTTTTGAACGTTTTCTCCAAATTCCCATCTCATCTGCAAGCATGTAATTTTGTAATTCCCGATTTTCTGATAACAGTTCGCGGAGAAATTAGGTCCCCTTTCCTTTCAAACGCATTACCCTGTTTTGATGACCCGCCTTGTTGACAGACGTGCACTCCAGCTGCCACTGACTTAGTGAAGTGTTTATTTGATGCCAGAAAGAATACCGACGGAACTAGTTGTACAAACAAATCCCTTCTGTTTCCTAATCGAATAAGTATTTACACCAAAAATATTATGTTGTTATTGAAGATGTACATGGTGACGACCGAAGAGGAGATCGATGAGGGGCAAGAAGAGGACATTGAAGTGCCGAAAGCGATGAGTGATATATTCGAAAGTGTCGCTGGAGCAGTTTACCTAGTATATACACTAAGGATCACGAACTGAAGAAAGTTCCAAGATTTGAATTTAGGACGCGAATCGTGACCTAGATGTTGTTTGGCGAGTATTTTATAATTTGATGAGACAAACAATCGAAGAATGCTGCGCTTATCCACCCCGATCACCTATAAGAGAACTGATGGAACTCGAGCCAGGAAAAACTCGTTTCAGGTTTGTTAAGACCCTTCGCCAAAGATCAGAAATTACAATTTTTGCAAAATCCCCTTTTTTGTAGATGAAATTCTAATTCCTCATATGTGGATCTTTTTGTGCGTAGATCTTTTTGTATATCCTCTCAAATAGATCAGTGAACTCAAATGATTTCCTTCACCATGTACTCTGACTCTACCTTGCTTTCAGCAAGATGGAGAGGATAATCGAAAGTGGAAAAGTGAGAGTGACAGTCGATATAGGAAACAAGATGAAATTCACGGGAATGGGTAGAAATTATCGCATTGCGAAGACAACGGCAGCTAAAAGAGCTTTGAAGTAAGTTGAGATCAAATTTTCATCCGATTTTCTTATTTATTTT